AATGTATGTAAACTGAAGTAAATCTCCACTGATAAGATAAAAAACAAGGTTAAACATGGGCACTTTTATTTATTATTCAGTTGCTAGGTAATAAAATGTTACACCCTTCTTAAATGAAATAAATAAAACGTCAGAATAAAAATAATTGTACAAGTATATATATCTTTATATATATTAAATGATTATGGAGAACAGAAATAATCACAGAACTTCGTTGAAAAAACTCGCCTAATGTTAAAAGTGAGCAGGCTAATGGATATGTCATAAATTGAAATTAAAATCACCAGATTCCCAATATCAATCAGTCCTGAATACAAGCCTAACATGAATAAGTAAAAATAATGCCTGTTTTAACTGATAAACATCTAAGAACCTGTTCACTCACGAATAATTTACCTGTTACATCGTAGAATGCACGCCAGTCAATTAAATAATTCGGCCTTATTCAACTAGGACTTTGCAGAGACTTATATATAAGCTAGATAAAGTAGTTTAACTGCAGAGACCAAATGTCTAATTCTGTTAACTATATTACTGTGATGACTATTTTTGTGGAATTATATATTAAAACACTTGGCCCTTTTGATAATTTTTGAATAAGACATGAGAAAGAAGCCAATTATTACAGGGTGATTTAATCGTAAAGTTTCCATACGACCGCCTTACCAGTAACATTGTATGTCCCAAAAGAAAAAGACTGCGCTTTGAAAAGACCGTCCGTACCAAAGAAAGGCATATATATTAAACTATCATTCAAAGGTGAATAAATCGTGTAACTGACAGCTCGAAAGCTTCAGTCAGCTATCAAGCGCACTTTCTACACTGTATTCCTTTCTTTTACACCTCGAACATTTTCTGTTTCGGTGACGAAATTCTATGGACTCTACTACATATTATATCGACAAAGTCCCAGGAGGTCCAGAAATAATTTTATCCGGAATAAGTGTTAGACTTATTCAATGTCATCGGAAAGAAAATGTTTTTAAGTGGATATTGAGTCACACAGAAAAGCCAAATGTACTTAATCTAAATGGTAATACAGCATCATACTTTACAAAGCATCCATTAATATCTGATCACAAGATCAATATTAATGACTGTTTCTCAGGTATTTCATATAACTTTAATTCAGTGCTATTGAGGGTGATGGCAGCATTTTGGATTAATCAGGTGCATTCTAAACAATGTGTACATAAAATAATAGATTTCAAGCGTCACTTACCATGGACCACCTAGCCTACTTAAATACAAATGGTTATTAATATGGCGTTTTATTTTATAAAGCTGGTAAATTGTCAAATATCTTATTCTATTATTGTGAATCATATTAGTTATAAAGCAATCACAAAGAAACTATGACCTAATACTACCTCACAATATTTGACTTGGAAATATATGTACATATATTAGTCTGGATGGCATCAGATTATGCGAAAGTTCAGTACTCTGCCTACTATGGGTATCCAATGTAATAATCCATAAACGTCTAAACGTTAACACGTAAAAGTAACTTTTGAAAGCGAATAAAAATGTAAAATGGAAGGAAAATCAGTATTATTCACTAAACAGTGTTAAACGATTCCTGAATGATTAGACAGACATGATAATAACTATTTGAATGTTTAAGACTTAGCCTGCAATAGGTCAGTTAAAAAGAGCATTAAAAAGCAAATCATTAGTTATAAGCGAACTTGTATTAACACTTCTCGAAGATACATTTCAGTCAGTTATACATCGTTTGTGTCTTCTAAATTATCAAAAGAATGGATACTGAACAAAGAGTACTCTTTTCGATAAATTCATCATCAGGCTCTACAGTTATCTATACATTATAGTGAATGAATGAATTAGTGTTATGAACGGCATTAATGTTTAAATAACATCAAATCAGTTTATAGTTTCTACTGAGGGCCAGGGCAATAGTCGGGGCTGGACTTGCTTCTTTTGAATACAGAGCGCTGGTTGTTTGAGGCGAATCTCAATAGCTTCTCCTGTTTGGAGCCTGCGGTGCTTCTATGTTTCTGGCAATTTATTTGGCACCCGGTATAATATAGAGAAGGATTGTTCTACGCTGTCTTTGTGGCCGGTTTGCACCATATGTTCTAATATCGAGGTGTTAATAGTTTTCACTACAATTTTACTTAGCCATGCTGGGAGATGTTCTCGAGCACGAAGAATCAAGTTCCTAGAGCAACGGCCAATATAACTGGCTCCACAGGCGCAGTTGAATTGATAGAGACAATTTGAAATGGCTAGTATAGGTACTTCATCTTTCAGTCGAGGAATCACCATCGGTCGTGTAGAGAATAATACGTGTAGTTCGCCAGCATTAAAAGTTCTTTGAAGTGATTTTCGTAATTTCTTCGCAATCATCTCGCTTGGTATATCGCCCATGAATTGTAGTTGTATATAAAGAGGCTTCTATTTTACAGATAGTGAGTACTCCTTTTCCGTCTTCTTTGTCATATGTTTTCAATTCCTAGTGAACAAACAGTAAGGCTAATTTGGACTTTTCAGTTTAAAGTCAATATTTGAAGGTAGTAGATTATAGCTATGTTAACCGCATCACTTAGTACCCAAAGCCTGATTAAAACTATCATACACGACCTTACCATGCATGCTGATAACAAACTTCACGCCAAAAACCACTCACTTTCATTTTTATCTTGATGATATATGCGATGCTTTTATCAATATATAACTTGTTACATGATATGCTTTAAACAATAAACAACAAATAAATTATGGAAACCTGCCTGCGTTTATTCTGTTTGAAAAAGTATCAAGATATATGCCGTTTGTATTCACCATTAAATATTGAAGTGAATGAAAGGGGTCCCTCCATTAATCCTGTTATTGCAAACAAACATGCATTTGATAACCACCAGATGCAGTTAGTAACTAACACTGGCTTCGATTAGAGATCCCTATGAAATCGAGAAACATTACTACCTATATTGTTTTATTTGGTTCACTAGTTGTGAGCATCTTTCATTTCTCAAGTAAAAAGAACCAGGGATACGTCATAGTAATTTAACGCATTCCCCATTCCTTATCAGCGTACAAGCCAACAGACTTCAAACTCTAACTTCAAAGACACTTCTATCCCAAGCTAACAGATTATTTATCCTTTGAACTCTTTAAGGAGCTTCTATCTTCATTTTTCTTCAAGCAAAAAGATAAAAAAGGATGACAGATGTGAATCTGTAAGATAACTTTGATAAGAAGACGATAGTTGTGGAGACTGTTGCTAATAACAACAACAACAACAACCTTATTGATGCTGACAAGGGTATAAACCCCTTTATCAGACATCTTAATAACGCATCATTTCATAATTCTTTGTAATTCTTTTAAAAAAATTAGGCAAGTGACTGGGAGCGGAACCTACTATTATCACAACATTAATATTTCTAATTACGTATATATTTTTTGATTTTTAAGAAATCTTTCTCAAGGGGTTGAAAAATACAAATTGATTAGTAGTAAGAAAAAAGCTAGATACTAGAATCCTTGGAAAACATTCCTATATATATGTATATACAATGTAATTGTAAAATCATTATGGAAGAACAATTTTTGATATCGAATCAAATTACTTTTAGATGTACATTTATTTACAGATACGACTGAACGCTGCTTTATTAAGTCAATAGCTCTACCGTGAATAGGTGGTGAATTCCCTATTTCTGTGGGCTAAAATAACTTCTAATTACAGGTTAGCTATTAAGATATTGAACACTTATTAGTAGCTGAACTGAACGGCATGATCTTATCAACATCTGAGTGATCGACACCTTTCTTATTAACCAGATGTAACCAGATGATGTAAACACCGGATTGCCGTTTCGTTTCGATCCGAGCTCATCACTCCTGTACTCGGGTCGGATAGTCGAGTTAGTTCAAACCACCGGAAGCATGTTTGGCTGTTTGGGCGGACTGATAATAAATACATTGATATGGATCACAAGTACTAATGTTTTATGTGATTAGTACTCAACCATTCATATCAGTAAATCAGTAGTATATGGATCGTGCACTTATACTTGCTTCTTTGGTTGCCATTAATCATTTCAAGCAGATCAAATACTATGATCGGAATAATTCCGTTTTCCAAAAGAAATTTCACATCTAAATGTGTAAATTGTAAGTTAAGAATTAACTTGCGAATTCGACTCTAAAACAATAAATGGTGATAACTACCCTATTTCTCGGTGGTCCTTTATTTATTTTCAATTTGGTATTTGCATAAATATATATTGTATAAATACAATAAATATTTTCTTATATTGATAATTTATGAGGGTACTTTGTGATTCTTGCCCATTTATTTACTCATGATCCTATTCTCAGTAGTATTTATTTTTTTTTTTATTTTTATTTTATTTTTGATGACAGCTTGACACCCACACCGCACTTTTGGTAGAAGTATGGAGTTTTCAGCGTGGATATCGGTAGCCCAAATTTCGCAGGCCGACCATAGATATCAAGTGTGCGTCGGCGAGGGCTCGAACCCCGGACCATGTGCATGGTCAGCGAGAGTCCTAACCACTGTGCCACCGACGCACTGAAGGCGTACATAGAGAAGTTATCCATTTTATTTAGTCAGAAGTTGTTGGGCTGTGGATCAACTTTTAAGAGGAAATTTAATTGTTGGTACACGCACTTATCAGGTTGTGATTATTTCAAAGCGAGTTTGTACACTTTGACTATCCTAATTTCTCCTCAAAGTTATGGGGTGCTAGCGTAAAATAACAGCTAAGAAGCTACTGTTCTTATTATATTTTTAATATTAGCTGAATTTGTTATCACACTGATTATACCTCTTAAGTAGTCAGAAATAACGTGCTATGATAAGGAAAGGCACAAAACAGGTGAGTTGTTGAATTCTGTGGCGATTATTCTCAAAAGAATCACATCATATATATTCTGCTACAAAATTATTGTCATTATCTTTTATTCAACTGAAATAATGATTTTATAAATCGATTCTGTTGAAGGTGACACAAATACTTGGAGAATCTAATGAGTCCAAACTGGAAGTTCAGCACATTTCCTACATATATTACTGGAATTACTTTATGGCTTTATTACTTATGTCTTATGGGTTGATGGTAAGTCATTGTAAAATAATTTTATAACTGATTAAAAATGCCAATTAAATTTTTTTGAAAAGAATGGTTACTAAACAAAGAATATTTTTTTAGATAACCTGCTCTCTATCAGGTTCCACAGTTATGTATACATTATAGTGAATGAACGAATTAGTGTTATTAATAACATTAATATTTAAATAACATCGAATCAGTATTAATAAGAGATTACAGTACAGTAGCATCAGCATAACAGTAAACTGAATGTCAGAAAAATTAGGGAAGACAATACTGAATTTATAGTCTCCACTGAAGGCCAGGTTAGTAGTAGTGGGTGAACTTGCTTCTTTTGCACACAAAGCACTGGTTGTTAAAGGCGAATCTCAATAGCTTACAAAGTTTGGAGTATGTGGTACCTTGATGGTTTTGGTAATTGATTTGGTACTCCGTTGATGATGGAGAAGGGTTCTTCAATGCTGGCTTTGTGGCCGGTTTGGACCAGGTGGTCTAATATCGAACTGTTGATGGCTTTTACTACACCTTTACTTAGCCATACCAGTTCAACTACGCTTGTTGAGCGAGTAATATTAGCTGTTGCTCTAAGAACCTGATTTCTCCCACTCAAAAACATCTCTCAGTATGGCCCTGGCCTTCAGTGCAGACTATAAATTCGTCAATTTGTAGTATTATCTTTCCTAATTTTTCTGACAGTCAGTCTATTGTTATGCTGATGTTATTCAACTGTAATCCATTGATATTATCATCATTTATTCTTTGTTATTCAAACACTAATGTTGTTAATAACACTAATTCATTCACTATTATGTGTTTATGAATGTAGAACCTGATGGAGAGCAGGTTATGTAAAAGAATATTCTTTGTTCAGTAACCATTCTTTTAAAAAATATTATGATTGTTTCTAAAATGTGTTTGATTGAATTTCTAATAATAATATAGCGGAAATAGCTTAAATGAAATTGTAACACCTTAGGTTAGTTGAAAAAATTTTTCGAAACATGTTAGTGTTAAGGTGTAAGCCAACACTGATTTCGGAGAATAAATCTTACCATGACCTCTATCTATTGGTGAGATCATAAAACCAACCACGTTAAGTTGTAATCTGACACATTCTAGTAATATTCTTCATTAAAGCCTGAAACTTTGACATACATAAAACGTAAGAAAAATGGATTTTAATCTACTCGAAATATTACACTGATAGGATAAAGTTTTTCCAGTAACTTATTCTCTAGTTTTGTGTATATATATATGATCATTAATCGATTTCTAAACAAGATAAAACCATTTGACCGGTGAAACAGTACATTTATTCAAAGAAGAGATTTCCTGATCAGTCAAGCTGCTACCAAGTTTCATATTCATTTTATTTTCTTCATTTAGTTGCGCAGTATATCACTTAATTTCCTTCTGTACTAGAGCACCAAAAGCAATTATTATTTAAAGTTATCATTCAGCTTACGACTGGGCTAAAACTGTTCTAAAAATTACATTAATTCATGATCAGATCTTTGTTTTAAGTGATAATACTACAGATCCGAAGTTTAATTATTTGTGTCCCAGGACACTTTCATCAGAGTGAACATGAGCAGTTTGCTATGTTGGGTGAATTTGATCATGATCTGACATCAGTTAGACATCTGCTGGAAAACAAAGGAGTACTGGATAGCCGTTTCGGCCTAGTTTGGGACTCATTTGCAGTACGCTCCCATCAAAGTGATCAAACCCGGGACCTTCCAGTTACAAGGCATGCTCGTTGACCGTTCAGTTACTGGTTCCCAACTCAATGGCCAACACATGAATTCTAACTTCCGCCAATTCGTGATTTTAGAGCGACTACCAACCAATGTTATCGGCGGGAAATCCATCCTCACTCTCCACTGGATGGACCTCTCTTGTCACGACTTTTCACTAGAAGTCCAGGAAACTATGTCTTGTGGCAAGTCACTAATGAGCATCAGATTAATTTTCAGTAGCTGGTTTGTAAGCATTAGATTTGCTTTTACGAGTTGACCACGGATTGATAACAGTTAGAGAATCATTCAAAACTAGCCGGGAGTATAGAAAAGCTGCTTCATTCTAGTCTTTGTCAGGTAATATGATTCATGAAACAGGCATCAATATACATAAATAAAATTGCATGAATTGTGATCAAAATTTGACTTCAGATTTACAAATATTAGTCTACTTTTGTTTAACACTGTAAACGGAGTGTACTTTTGCACCACAGTTTAAGTGATCACGTTCGACTAAAGTTCATAGGCGTAGATAACTAAATATTAAAAAGTATATGTATAGGCGGTGCGTAGTGATGTGTGTGGTTTATGTGTGTACGGCGAAACAGTTATAAATCATTTGTTAGCCTCTCTATAAGAAGATATAGACAAGTGGGAATTTAGATGAAGTACGACTGATTAGTGATACATATCCACTTATCGATTTTCAATGAGGAATTTTATTATTATTTATAGCTTGATTCCACACCGTATTTTCGGTACAAGTATGAAATTTTCAGCATGTGATATTGGTAGCCCAAATTTCGAAGGCCGACCAGAGATATCAGGTCTGCGTCGGCGTGGGCTCGAACCCCGTACCATGTGCATGATCGGCGAGAGTCCTAACCGCTGTGCCACCGGCGCATGCGTCAGCTTACATCACACCTTCACGTCTGTTCAAAATTTTGAAATTCACTCATATGCAGTCATTATTTCTTTCTGCTATAATGTTATGTTGTACAAAACCAATTGGCTTCATAACTTGCCCATTTCATAATCGTTAAACGAGTTTTATAATGTTCAGCCAATATGAATGCATAAATGTAAAACTTGAAGAGCACCTTATTGAAAGAATATCCTCTGTTCATCAGTCTGCATTAAAACCTAATGTCAGTTCGTGATGAAATTCTCCAACCAATAGAAAACCCTACAAAAAATCAGTACTTGAAAAATGATCTGACGCTCCCTAGCCACTACCTCTATTCAGGCAGTTAGCCTGGGGTTCTGATCGGAAGCTGTGACCAGTAGGGTGCAGCAGGTCGAAGGTGAGGTAATACCTCATCAGAGAAAACATTGCAAAGTGGTCACGCTATGCTATGGGCTGACGACTGAATCGAATCCCAGTGGCTTAATGGTCTATGAGCTCACTGGCCTTGTAACTGGAAGGTCCTGGATCCAAACCCTAGCGGTGGGTGCGTATTGATGAAGAGTCCCGAACTAGGCTGACGAAACAGCTGTGCAGTACCCCCAGGTCTTCCGTTGGTTCTGTAACCGATGTCAGCTCATGGTGAAACCCCCAACCAATTAAGCAAAATCTCTCCGTGGCACAGCGGTTAGGATGACCATGCCCATTGTTCGAGGTTCGAACCCCGGTAGACGTACACCTGATATCAATGGTCGGCCTGCTAAATTTCGGCTACCGATATCACATGCTGAAAGCTCCATAGTTGTACCAAAATACTGTGTGGAATCAAGCCAGAATAAAATTAAAATTAAAAAAAAATTAAATTACAAAAATTTTAGGTTGTATTAATTATACAAAATATATTTCTATCACACTTATTTTTAATGTTTTAAGTCCTAATGATTCCTATTCCTTTATTTCATTCTTTTTCTCTTTAATCCCATGAATGCCGTAATATATATATATATATATATATATATATATATATATAGCAAAATAAATATGTTACCTAGGTAACCCATAACGATTAAAGTGGTTTGAATTTATATCGCGCTTCGGAAGGCTTTATACAAGAGTAGTGAATAGTGTGATTGTCAATCATATGCAGTCAAAATATTTTACATATCTTAAAATTTGTTTTCATTCTATAGTTCGTATTCTAAAAATTTATGATTTATCTGATTAGATTACCAGTTGAATACCACGCACTACAAAGTATTCAAACTTTAGACTCAAATCAGTCATTATCGTCAACAGACGTCGTTAATTTTTATTGCATAATATGAAGTATATACACAAGACTAAGCAGGAGTATTAATAATTTTACTTTTAATCTGACTAAAACTTTTGGAGACAGGTTAAGTTAAAATGTAAATCTTCCAAGACCATTTTCTAACTACTCCATTATGGGTAAAATTTTATTTCGATAAAATCACACATTGTTATACAGTAAGTAATATTTACTGATGACTTTCCAAGCACAATCTATTGCTCATAATCATATCAAGGTACTCACACAACTTTCTTGCTTCGTTTATATATATATATATATGGGTAAAAAGTGATCAGACACTTGAATAACATCAATATACGATAAAGTACATTCGGAACTAATATTAGTGTTATCATATAAGGAGATGATATCTGAGATCCTACTTAGGATTCTCAATAAAGCAGTAATTAGGGGGCATTCAAAACTGTAGACTCATTCAGAGGCAAACTTTATAAGCTGAAGGATCCATTTGACCCAATTAAACAAAATAATATGATTTACAAACTAACTTGCAATGACTGTGAGTTAAGTCAACTACATAAGTCGGGAGTGATGAGATTATCAGAACTCAAGAATTTAGCTGAGGTTGGAATGATTAATCCCACGAAGATAAGTCAGTTACAAAAAACTGCATGCATTAACACACAACCACACAGTAGGGTGAGTGAGATAGAGTCAATATTCTAAAGAGTGATATAAGTAGGTGGGGATGGTGAGAGATTGATTACTGAATCCTGGTTCATCGAGTCTGCACCTACACATGCAACAGAAGTGATTCAGCACAAATACCAGAGATATGGAAGATATTATTACCAGTCAAATCAGAGGGTAATAAGTTATGTTGAAATGTATAAAAACAACCTATTTCTTATCTTTTTGACTAACAACACTTGTTCTAATTCTCATCCTATTATGTTTATTGATAACACCAAAATTGGTTCCGGAAGTACTTTATCTTGCATTCTGTTTCATACAAGTCTTATAGTGATTTTATTCAGGTGTCTAATCAATTTTTACTCATGCATATGAATGAAGCAATAAAGCTGGTATA